ATTGATTTCAGTCTTGATGTGTAGGTTTGTTACGACAGGTGTTTGATGATAATTGTTAAATACTCTACTAGTTCAAGTATTATAAGAGTTACAGCCATTTTTGGAAGATGTGAGGGAAATTGATTAACAATTTTAATTGGCTCTTGTTTACCTTTTTTTATATATTTTTTCACTACTACTTATAATATTGAGAGATAATAATGTTAACAATTACAAAAACATAACATTAAAACTACTACTATTAATAATACTGAACAAACTAGAGTTATTATTAGTATAAATACAATCTTCATTGCCGTACCTTTATTATCAGTAAATATAATGACATATGACTTATGTTAACGTCAAAAGATTCACGGTCTCTTCTGCCTCACTGATTGTATGAGATTATCGAAAAAACTTTACTTAGATTAGAAGGAAATTCACTCTTTTTGAGGTTGCAATAGTCAGTTAAATTTCCCGTTTGAAAATCTTCTCTGTGTGCAAAATCACCACACAGGTCTAGAGTTTATCAAGTTAGCGGGTTTAATTCTCCTTCATGGACAAGGTTATCATTTTTTTTTTGTGAATTTACCAAAAAATTAATCATAATCGTCTATCGTTCTCAAGTAAAGGATAAAGCATGCGAGAAATCACACCCTTTGGTTGTATAAGTCCTTAATGGGGGCTGGCTGGGCGAGAGTTTGTGTCCCTGAGTCTGATAGGAAGCCAATCTTGGCGGTGGTAGGAATACTATGATGACTTTTTGGGGATTGTAAGAGTAGTAGAATGATTATAATTAAGGTCTATGGTTGGTATATTGATAATCATAGAGGTTTATAAGGGGTAGAATGACGATAATGAAAGACTAAGAATTTTGAATATAAGTTATGAAGGTCTAGGACTTAAAATAACATACCTGGTAATCGTCACCTGAAATGTAATCACTGATTGGGATAAAAGGTAAGCAAAATATTGCATCGTACCAAGTTGGGTATAATAAGAGAGGTTATAAGAGAATTCGAGGTTTACTTGTGTCAAATGGTTTATTATTTAGAGATAAATCTGATTAAGCACTGAGATTTGTAAATACTCTTCAGAACCACAGCACAGCAAATATGATAGCTAGATTCTATTTTCTATTAAATTTCCTACTTGACAGGTCCAGACAATGAGGGGGGAAGCACCATGTAATTCGGAGGTGATAGCGACCCGCGCCAAGATCGTTTGGATGTGGCTGACTGGCATGTCGGCGAGACAAATTTCCCGTAAGAGTGGGGCGAGCGTGACCACCGTATACAGGTGGATAAGGAGGTGGCAGGAGGAAGGCACAGTGGCCACAAGACCTTACCGTAGACGGCCTCGCACTTCATCTTGGGAACTAGAAGTGGCAGCTGCCGCGGCCTCACAGTCACAACCTGCAACCAGGTCATTCAATATTTCCTACAAGCAACACATGTGCTATCACCCGAAGCCAGTGCACCATCATTTACAAGTGAACGCTTTCAATAAATTAATTAATTTATATTACGGTCCTCTGGTTCAGTATTACAGACAAACACAGTTGAATCCTGCTTATAGCCTGTTATAGGTGTTTTTGGTATTATGAGACACTAAAAGTATATTATTCCGTTTGCTTTATCTTTATTATAGCGTATGAACAAATACCAGTGACATCTTATCATTCCTACTGTATGACCATATTAAGAACCTAAACAAATAATTGAATACATTATAGTTACTTGAATTGAGACTATGACATTGGTTTGATATATCAGGGCTTATCATTTGGAACTTCCGCATACCTTTGCATTTTTGTGTCAGCAGTAATATTTGTATCTTTAAAGTCTAATATAACTGTAACAGGGCAAGGCAGGACTCACTCCATAACATGACGTAATTTATATTTTTCCTAGCATCTTATGTATTGCTTGATCAAATTATATATGTAGGATGTAATAATACAATATCACGTTAATTGTAATTTGGTCTTATCACATTTGCTTTTTCTTGTAGGTCTATTATATATTTCTTCAATGTGATCCGTTATTAAAATTTTATAAATTCACTAAATATCACCAACAAAATAAAATATTCATTAATTCTTGTTTTCATAGCCTGTATAAGACGAACATGAGTTTTCAAAACTTTAATTGTTTATTGATATATGATTAGTATGATTAAAATGTATTGTACACTTGTACGTTATAAATTACATGCATCCTATATATATATATATATATATATATATATATATATATATATATATATATATATATATATATATATATATATATATATATATATATATATATATATATATATATATTAAATCACTGCGCGAAAAGGATAAATATATATGAAGATGTGAATTACACGAAAGCGCTTGGGAACTATTATCAGCATATATATATATATATATATATATGTAATACTCAGAAATTTCCGAGTAATTTCGAATGCCCCGCCATTGGCAACACTGAGCGTTCAAGGTCGCTGGAGGGAAAAGAGCGCTGCCTGCTCATAGAGAGAGATTGTGGAACTAGGCCTATATGATATTAAATGTAATTTATCGAATTAATAATGATGCGATTCATGAAGTAAGGGACTATTATTGAATTTGAAATTATTATAGATCGTTTATCAGTCTGAATAATGTTACGGGTGTCCCAAGGAGTTATTAGTTCGGCGGAAAATATGTCACGTAGGCCTAAGCTAACGCCTTGAGGAGAGGCGACGCTGGCTAGGTCTCAGTCGCGGGGAGGATTCATACAAAACAAGACGTCCCTGCGCGTCTGTCACAGAAATAGTCACGTGGCCTAGTCACCTGTGCTGCGCTATTGCAGTATAACAAGTAAGTCTCATTCGATCTCAGACAGGGTTAGATAGGGCAGTGGTAAAGTTAACAAGAGCTAACAGTGAGTTCATTTCAGGGTTTCCGTCAGAACCCACTTGACTGGAGTTGACCGGAGTTGACCGGAGTTGACTGAGAGAGATTGACTGCCGTTTGAGACTGCCGTTGATGATTGAGGGTGGCGATTGTCGCCATTGGACCGATCAGTGTAGGCCTGTCACTGTTTAGCGGGGTACCAAAGGATCTCTTGAGGGAATCTAGCCGTCTGGGTGCCCAGCTGACGTCGGCTCACAACACCACATGTCCCGAGCCGCTTAGTGAAACCCTCTTGCTAACGGGAAGCTAAAGCTCCTCTCAACTGCACAAGGTCTGATTGGCTCACTCTCTTCCTGCCCATGGACGCACTGGGAGTACACTGAGGCTATCTGAGTATATTAATGGTCACACACTGAGACCGTGAGTCTAGGACTCTAGGAGATACCTAGAGGAACATTTTATCTTCCTTATTACGGGTGCAGTTAACACCATTCCTCAGACTGATATTATCTTGACGTGTGTAGTTTAATAGTCCTAAATAATTTTGATAGTATTGTTTTTGAATGGTTGTGCCATTAAGTGGAACCAGAGTGATGCTGTGATTTGATTCTTTTAATGCACCTAATTGTTCTTCATAATTCTGATCTCAGGTATAACCTTGTTCCCCAGAGTAGTGGTTAAGTTAGGTTAGGAAGTGTGCATCTGTTGGGGTGCTATTATTTTGTTGAAAGCCCTTAAGGCCTATTCATTGTAGAGTAGTTAATTTCTTATTTTTTAATACCACTTCCTAAGTGACTGATATTATTTTGTGAAAGCCCTTACGGCCTGTTTCATGTGTGCAAGCAACATTTCTTAATACTTCAAATTTATTGTTGCCTGTGTTTCTAATAATTTCTATATCATGTATAACTTTTATTCCCCAGAGTAGTGTTTTAAGTTTAAGTTAAGAGGTGCGCATATTGGTGTACCATTATTTGATTGTGTTTGTAGTGTTGGAGGGAATATAAGTGTCTAAATTTTACAGTGTGTCTCATTCATCCCAGTCACAGACGCTATCCTTCCACGGGTCACGGACAATTCATTTTGTTTAGTAGATTTAAGTGCTCTTGTGCTGGTTCGGGATTTTTCTCAAAGGGGCGCTTCCACTGCCATTACCATCTATTAATTTTTAATAAACCCCAAGTCAAGTGAGAAATTAAAGTCCAGTAAATTCCGACCGGTTACATATATACACTGCTACTTATTGGAAAGTACTGTAGATAGAAGACGGCAGACTCATACGCTTGTTTCTTCTTGCCCGCTAATACTGTTTTTGAGAACTTGACGGAGTGGCAGTCAATGCTATTGCTGGTACAATACACAGAGATGGGATAAGTTCATGGTAAGACTAACGAAGGACTGGCTCGAGTCTATAGGTTGTAGATGCGCATAGGAAGTTCACAGGCACATAAACATAAGATACCCATTGATTTGCATAGGAGAAATTATACAGAAAAGTGGCAGGTGATACGTACAATTAGATGCATGAAAAAATAAATACAGCAACGAGAAGCTACAACAAAGGCAACCATACACGAGAATATGTGCAACAACCCAAAGCCAATAAGCAAAAGGGAACCGGTGAACTATGAAGAGTTAATAGGAACATTGTACTTTACATGAATAGCAGAATCACAAAACGAAGAGAAGTTGCAACATCAGTCCTATGGCAAGAACCTATACATAAAGTATCAGGTGCGTGATTGTACCGTAAGAGTATATTGAATTACCCCTTACTAGAACTGTCATGAGTTCTATGCGTCACACCATCGCCGCGATATGTTACACTCATATCAGTTGGTATGAATGAGCGATTATCAAAACTACTTTTCTTAGATATATTTACTCATACCTAAATGTTTAATATATTATATACTGTACGACTCGGTAATGGGACTGCAGCAACTTTAGTCTGCTATCAAGACATTATTGACATGTATTTACATGAAAGTCAAAAGCTGTGCAAATTATCTATGTATGGAGCGTTCCTGGGCATAACAGACATAACTCTATCTGGTAATGTTACACAAGGTAGACAGTAAGTCTGGTTCAACATTGAATATATTTCTTGACAAATGGTTTTGCATTCCAGGTGGTAATGATGTCACTCAGTTATCGCATAATGGTGGCGGTGACTGTGACAGTGGTGAGCGCCTCGACTGTATTTTGTCAGTTTGTGGGTGAACCCGTGCAGCAATTGAGTGGGGACGTCGATGAACCCGTGGAGCAGGTAGGCGTGGATGTGGGCGTGATGGTGGGTCAGGTAGTGGAGCACCATCTCACCGGCTGTCACCTGGTGCTCATCACCACTACACAACACTCACGTGTTTTCTCCAGTATTAACAGGTGATTTGGTGGTGTCATATTATGAATTTAGTAAAACCACGATTTAATTACAGCATATATTGTGCCGTCTCTTCAGTTCCTTTCTCTTTTGTAAATAAATTTTAAGATGAAAATGAGTTAATATTTAGTGTATCAATACTCTCCCTCCTTCTGTTGGTAAGGTCAAAGCACCCACGTGTGGGTAATACACTCACAACATATAATACAATGATAATTATTGTTTCTCTTTTTATATCCTCAAGTGCACTTTCTGGCACTATCTATATTTATTATTATCGTGAGTAAATTAAAAGACTAATATAAGCAATGTTTTCATTTGGCTGGTAAGACTATTATGTACTGTAGACGTTTGCACTTCCTGTAATGAGGGTTTTTAAGGGTTATGCTATATTAGATTAAGTTTTATTTATTTTTTAATTAATGCTTCTCATAACAAAAATCTTAGGAGAGGACACTGTTTTCCATAGAAATTTTGTTAACTTTAGGAGAATGCTCAAGAGATGATTATTATCTTAAGAAGAACACATTTTATTCTTTTAAGGAAAGATCTTGTTAAGGATAATGTTTAACAAGTGCCATTATTAAGAGATTATATTATTGTAAAATGAGCACGATGACATGTAGGCTCGCACCCAGGCCTACCTTCTCCAGGGGTATAAGAGTAAAGTAAACTTGTATCTTTCAGATACTTGAGTGTGGGTGTGGAGGCTGGCGTGGTAGTGGAGGCAGGGTGGGTGTTGTCTCAGGACCAGCTGGCCCAGGACCACCTCCTCCAGAGGCTGTGGGGAGACACCAGAACCACCTGCCGGGCATTGATCATCGACCTCACCAATAATGACAAAACTGAGTCTGCGCTCAGGTAGAACTTAAAGAACAATAGAGAATTCTTACCACAAAACGGGGATTGTGTTGTGATTATTGTAGACATCTCGTTTTATTTTTGCCTTCTGTAGTATAACAACATAATGTGAGCCGTTATTATTCACTCCTTAGATTAGCAGAAACATCAGGGTTGTGGAAGTTGTCTGAGACGCGGGTGGTGGTGGTGGGTGGGACGGCAGGAGTGAAGGACGTCCTCCTCCACCATAGTCTCCGTAACACCGTCCACGCCCTCTACCTGGCCTTCCACGACCTCACCCTCAGCACCCTACCACGTCACGGTAACTCACGCCTAAAGAAGGTCCTCCCTAAGGAAGGTTAGTGCATTTCCTGACCAAAGTGTAACTCCTCAATGGAATTTTCCTTTGAAAAAACAACCTGTTCTCTCTGATTCCATAAATATTCATAATATGTAGCATAAATTTGTAAACCAAACTCTGGGAAAACATATGGCCACAGGTAATTTTATTTACCAGTTAGCCTAATCCTTTTGATCTTGCTTTATATTTGGTATAAGTGCACCTGTGTGCCAGTGTTAATATAAGTATTCAGGAATATGTAGGGTAAGAGGGGTTGAACACGTACCGGGTAATGATATTTTATTCCTTCGGCCAGGAGTAGTGAATGAGCGTGTGTCGGTGTACCGGCGATGTCTATACTGCAACAACGGGGATATGGACGTCCAGTTTATCAAAGAGAAGAACCTGACATCTCTCATTATGAAAGATATTGGTCTATTCCACGGTACAGTACATAAATATTTAGTGAAGCAAAATGTATTCCTTTGAAATAATTAACCAACGTTATAAAAAACGAAGAAATAAATATATTTTAAAAGACATACAATTAAAACAAGTGTACCGAGCGTTGCCCGGGTTTCTTTGGAGGGGCAAAATAGCCTAGACTTGTGACTACACTATCATCTACATCAACTACACGATAAAAGAACAGCCAAACAAATATATACCTGTACACACACATATACTGTACTCATATAATGTACTTTATAAATATGGTAGCAAAATTACCTGGCTTCGCTCGGCTTAAATATATACTGTATTTACTGTAAAACTTATCACAGTTTGCCCTCCCTGACACGGGTAACCACCTCAACTTATCCTAAACTAACCTAACTTAACCTAACCTAACCTCTCCCGATCTAACCAAATATAGGTTAATCTAACCCGACCTAACTTTGATTGTTCTAGTTTGCCCTCCCTGACACGGGTAACCATCTCCCATAACCACGGAACAATTCCTCAGGAAAGATTTTTGGTTCTTGTCTGTTGTCAATAGTAATACAAAGGTGCACAATCTTAGAACCCATGTACTTTGTATATAAGTTTCAGGCCCAGTATGGGCCAATAGGTCCGCTGCAGTTTCCTCCATTCTTGTGTTAGGTTAGGTTAGGTTAGGGCGAAGTGTTTGTCTGCATCAAGGAGTGCAAATTGTGATAACCGTTATACAAAATATTCCTAGACAGTTAAGTATACTGTACTTGAGGTATGGATACTAAACAATGACATTCTATGCAATGTTTTTTATGTAGCTATTACAGATATTGTGAATATAGATATATGCAACTAAACTTGGATTGAATTTTACAGGGGATAAACGTCCATATACTTGCCCTCTCTTGGGTGATTATCATCATAATGCCAGCTAGAAAGAACCAAGTCCAGATATGATTTCTAAAAATGTACGGAATTATTAGGCATTTTCTACATCAAAATATTACTGTCCCTTTGTTTATGTTCTGGATATACTAGAAAGATCAGGAAAGATCACAAAATGCTCAACTTAATTAATTTTTTGATGTCATACCTTGAAGAAAGACGTCCTACCAAGTTTAATTTTGAAATAGTGGACCTGCGGTGCTACAGATAAAGAGACAGACATCCAGAAGATGCCACACGCTTTTTTGTTCAATTTCACTTCACGTTGAGTCACCATATGATAACCTCAGGAGCTGATGGGATTAATTAAACCTGCTTTGTAATGAGCTAATCCTCTCTACTTCCAGATCAGTTTCAAAACCTAATGGGTCACACGTTCCAGGTAACAACAGCACCATACTTTCCTTACATGGACTACCAGCGGGACAGCCAGGAGCCAGGAAGCAACGTCACACCCAAAGAATCAGTCGACGCCAGCTTGATTAACTCTTTGGCTGCAATACTGAACTTTACGTGAGATTTGAGACTTTTTTGTGTCATAGTAAGACTGTCTGTTCTCCTGAATTAGAAGGTTTATGGATACGGCTACCAACACTTATACATTTTGTAGAGGACCTTTCTTGATCCATGTTTATAACTATTGGGTCCAGCTGTATAATCCCTCGGTCCTCTGTTAGCGTGTTCTTGCAGTATAGACTCTCTTCTTTCATCTGATAATACAATATCGTTCTTTGATATGATATCCAAACCATTCCCTTCCATTCTTGGCCTTAAGTATAAAGTCTATTGTGCAACTTTACATTATTTTTAGAGAGGTTTTAATTTTTTATTTATTATCATTTTTTTTTTTGGGGGGGGTGGGCATTCTGTACTCACGTTTTACTTGTGCAGGTCAGTACCGATATACCTCTCTCTCTCTCTCTCTCTCTCTCTCTCTATATATATATATATATATATATATATATATATATATATATATATATATATATATATATATATATATATATATATATATATATATATATATATATATATATATATATATATATGATAAAATCTACGTTTTCACTGTGGAGGTTGAGGTGTTGATTGTATGTAGAAGTCCGCGTGCTTTATTGGGCTAATGAAATATATATATATATATATATATATATATATATATATATATATATATATATATATATATATATATATATATATATAATATTCAGAAATTTCAGTGTAATTTCAAACGCCGCTCCATTGGCAATACTGAGCTCAAGGTCGTCTGAAGGAAGACAACGCTCCCGCACGTAGCGAGAGGTTGTGGAACTACGCCTATACGATATTGAATGTAATTTACCGAATTAATATGGAGGCGAATTATGAAATTAAATATCAGTTATTAAATTAAAAGTAATCATAGATCGTTTCCCAGTCTGAAAATGTTGCGTACGTCCTAATTAAGCTGTTAATCGTCTGGTAAATAAGTCACTACTGAAAAGCGTGAACCAGTGAGCAAGCCTGGCTGGGGAGTTGTGAGAGAGGTCACGCCAGAGGACCATCTCTGTTCTGTACCCAGGAGAGACGAACCGCGTGAACTGGTGTCTTCGTTTATTTAACATCAGTATTAACAAGTAAGTTATATTCAATCTCAGACAAAGCTAGATAGGGCGGTAGGAACAAACGGTGATGTGAGACAATAGCTAACAGCTCGGGTTTTTTCAGGGTTCTGTAGAGCCCACGAGGTATGATAACGTCCACTGGCGGTATGAGACGAGTGGTGAGCTGTATGACCGTCCACTGACCTGGGTTTGAGCCACCTGTTGAGTATGGTGAGCTTTGGAGTGAAACCAGCTGTCTGGGTGCCCAATTAAGGACGGACGATCGGTTAGGGTCATTAGCCCTCCTCTACCTCGGCTCACAATACCACATATCTTCAAGCAGCTTAGTGAAAATCTTTTACTGACGGGAAGCTAAAGCTTCTCTCAACTGTACAAGGTCTGATTGGCTCACTCCCTTCCATTTCATGGATGTACTGAGGGTAAAGTGAAGCCAGCTGAGTGATACAGGGTCACCCACTCGGACCAAGAGTCTAGTGGAACGTAGAGGTACATCTTCCAAGGTGGAGAAAGGCTGGTTTGGGCCTTAAACTATGGGTGCCTGTTGGTTGTGCCTTAAAAAAATACAGAGTACAGGTGGAATTTATGTGTTAGGTTAGGAAGCATGGTTCACGGTTATTGGTGGACTCAGTAACTTCTTAATAATAGTGATAATATTTTTGTGTGTAGTTTAATATTTCTTAAATAATTTGGATAATATTGTTTTCAATGTTAGTGACACTAATGCATGCCAGAGAAATGAGGGAACTGTTTTTCAGATGAGTTTTCTCCATGCTGTTGTAAGTGATACTGTGATTTAGTTCCTTTACTGCATTTAATATGTCTTTATAATTTCAATCTCAGGTATAACCTTTGTTCCCCAGAGTAGTGTTTAAGTTAGGTTAGGAGGTGTGCATCTGTTGGGTAATATAAATTTGTTGAGTGCCCTGAAGACCTATTCAGGGTGGAGTTAATAAGTTCTTATTTTTCTATACCATTTTCTCAGTGCTGGATATAATTTTGTTGAGTGCCCTTAAGGCCTATTCATTGTAGTTATTAATTTCATATTTTTTTAACACCATTTCCTCAGTGATTGATATTATTTTGTTGAAAGCCCTTAAGGCCTGTGTCATGTGTGCAAGCAACATTTCTTAATACTTTGAATTTATTGTTGTCTAATGAGGCATTGCCTGAGTTTCTAATAATTTCAATATCATGTATAACTTTTATTTCCCAGAGTAGTGTTTTAAGTTCAGGTTAAGAGGTGCGCATATGTTGGTGTACCATTATTTGATTGTGTCTGTAGTGTTGGAGGGAATATAAGTGTCTAAATTTTACAGTGTGTCTCATTCAACCCAGTCACAGACGCTATCCTTCCACGGGTCACGGAGAATTCATTTTGTTAGTAAATTTAAGTGTTCTTGTGCTGGTTTGGGTTGTTCTCAAAGGGTCGCTTCCACTGCAATTACCATCTAATAATATTTAATAAACCCCAAGTCAAGTGAGAAATAAATGTCCAGTAATTCCAACCATTTACACACCGTTTACCATCTGAGATCCCTTGCCCGAGAATTGCTGTTCGACACCACAACCGCATCCAGCCCATACATGCACGAACTGATCGCTATAAGAACAGCCCAGTCCCAACCATTGTAAAAATTATCAATAACTTGTAATAAGCCAGTGTATTCACTCCCAGTAAATACTACTTCTTGCACTGTCACTATGTTGAAATGCACTGTAGTTTGAGTTTTTCCCTATCTAGTTATTATATATCTTATTTGTATCACTTATGTTACTTGTATATTATTTGTAATTCGAAACCCATTCCCCAAATATGTAACTGTAAATTTTCAGCCTTCTGGCTGCCAAGCTCTTTCAATAAACCGTTAATTAATATATACTTCATTTTTAGTCCCTATAACACGCGGACTTTGAACATATAATCAACGACCTCACCAGCCAGGAATCGAACCCTCGACCTACTGGGTGGGACTAGGGAACATAAGAACATAAGAAAATAAGGAGTCTGCAATAGGCCGGTTGGCCTGTGCATGGCAGCTCCTGTCGAGAGTTACTACCACTCTCTATCATCCATGAATCTATCTAGCCTCCTTTTGAAACTTTCCAGAGTTCCAACACTTACTACAAAGTTGCTAAGCTTATTCCACTCGTCCACCACCCTATTTGTGAACCAGTTTCTTCCTATCTCCCTCCTAAACCTAAACTTATCCAACTTGAATCCGTTGCTCCGAGTCCTATCCTGCTCGGATATTATAAGAACTTTATCTATATCCCCTTTATTGATTCCTTTCACCCACTTAAATACTTCTATCATATCTCCCCGCACTCTTCGTCTTTCTAGGGAATGCAAGTTAAGTTTCTTTAACCTATCCTGATATGGAAGGTTTCTAAGTCCCTGAATCATTTTTGTCATTCTTCGCTGCACCGACTCTAGTGAATTTATATCCATTCTATAATAGGGGCACCAGAACTGAACCGCATAATCGAGGTGCGGCCTAACTAGCGCAAGATATAGTTGCAATAAGACCTCTGCACTCTTGTTACTTACACTTCTAGATATAAAACCCAATACTCTGTTTGCCTTATTTCGAACATTAACGCACTGTTTTCTAGGCCGTAGGTCCGGGCTTACAAGTACCCCTAGGAGACTAAAAGCAGTCCTAGACTCTGTTATATTTCACACAAAGCCTGTTCATCGAGCTAATGGCGCCGTGAACCTCATTGGGAAACTGTAGGTCGAGGGTTCGATTCCTGGCTGGTGAGGTCGTTGATTACACACACACACACACACACACACATATATATATATATATATATATATATATATATATATATATATATATATATATATATATATATATATATATATATATATATATATATATATATATATATATATATGTAATATTCAGAAATTTCAGAGTAATTTCAAATGCCCCGCCATGAGTGATACTGAGCGTTCAAGGTCATCTGAGGGGAGGGAGCGCTGCCTGCTCGTAGCGAGAGACTGCGGAACTAGGCCTATATGATATTAAATGTAATTTACCGAATTAATAATGATGCGATTCATGAAGTTAAGGGACTATTATTGAATTTGAAATTATTATAGATCGTTTAGCAGTCTGAATAATGTTACGGGTGTCCCAAGGAGTTATTAGTTAGGCGGAAAATATATCACGTAGGCCCAAGCTAGCGCCTTGGGGAGACGCGACGCTGGCTAGGCCCAGTCCCGGAGAGCATTCACACAGACAAGACGTTCCGCGCGTCCATCAGAAATAGTCACGTGGCCTAGTCACCTGTGCTGCGCTATTGCAGTATAACAAGGTTTCCGTCAGAACCCACTTGATTGGAGTTGACCGGAGTTGACTGCGAGAGATTGACTGCCGTTGATGATTGAGGGTGGCGATTGTCGCCATTGGACCGATCAGTGTAGGCCTGTCACTGTTTAGCGGGGTAGCAAAGGATCTCTTGAGTGAACGAGTGCTCCCGACAACTAAAACGACACGGGACCAGCATCGGCAGTGGGTGATCAGTTCTTACCACTCCGGTGCACAACACCACGTGTCCTCGGTCAGCTAGTGAAACCCTCTTGCTAACGGGAAGCTAAAGTTTCTCTCAACTGCACAAGGTCTGATTGGCTCACTCTCTTCCTGCCCATGGACGCACTGGGAGTACACTGAGGCTATCTGAGTATATTAATGGTCACACACTGAGACCGTGAGTCTAGGACTCTAGGAGATACCTAGAGGAACATTTTATCTTCATTATTACGGGTGTAGTTAACACCACTCCTCAGACTGATATTATCTTGACGTGTGTAGTTAATATTTCTTAAATAATTTTGATAATATTGTTTTGAATGTTTGTGCCATTAAGTGGAACCAGAGTGATACTGTGATTGATTCTTTT